CATGCTTCATCGTCTTCTTTGACTAAATCACTGAGAGCATGGTGGCGACTTAACGTGCGTCCAGCTCCACTTCTCCACTCCTTCTTCTTCTTCTACACCTTCGTCAACGGTTGAAGCTTCGTCATTCATATCTCCGTCTCGACGACAGTAGTTGCTTCTGCCTCACCGGCAACCGTTGTTAGCTCCTCTTTATTCATTCGATTTTTTCATCTGTGGGAGGGGTTTTGCTCTCCCTTCTTCCATTCTTCCCAAATCTGGTTCCCATGGAGGATCTAGCTCGCGTGTCCCGCATTCTGTATCATCAGAGTAAGTCGTCGTGCGATGCAATATAGGGTTTTTCATCCTCCCTTTCTTCTGCTAGGAATTTAAATTTGCTTTGAGTATAATGTGGTGGGAAAAGGATATAGATTTGGAATGGATACAGAGAGAAAGAAAACCGGTTCCTTTTGTGATATCCTCGGTCTGGCTTCCTTGGTTTTTTGTTCAACTTCAATTTTTTGTTTTAACATTCCTTTCATATATTTTAAAGTATGATGAATTCATAAACTTGTTTTTGTTTTTTTGCAGCTCCCATCATCACGGTAATGAATATAAGTTTTTAGATAAAAAGAGCTAAGGTATTGAATAATAATGCTTATCAGATAAAAAGAGCTAAGGTATACTAATTATTATTATGCAAGACATATTGGCAAACTGGTTGTGTTCAAACTATGTGGTTAATCTCATTTTACAATGGTAGTTTAAAAAAAGACTGGGAGTTTCTCCTAATGCCATGGTACAGTGACGATACAGATATCAAAGAAGGAGTTGGATACTTTATGAGAAAGCAACACCAGAGATCTTATGCAGAACATTCTGTCTTCGCTTGATAAAGCCAGAAATATGTTAAAAGGACAGTCCTGTATACCGAGCATTAATCTAAGGTTTGAACTTATCTACATCTACCCCATTAATAATTCCATAAGCCTTTTTGCTTTTCTTTGTCATCATGGGATGATCAACTAGAGGCCCAGTTATGTGGAAAGCATCCCAGTTGAGGCCTGATCTTCGGAATGAAAGGGAAGGGAATCAGTTAGAACAATTCTTAACTGAGAGCAATAACATGTTACAAAAATTTACAGTACATAATAACAAGCAAGAGAGATCAGAATTGCATGAAAAATTTAAATAAATTTATGATAAAAATGTTAATGATTGTTTAATCTGTCATAAACTTGAACACGAGAATATAACATCAGATCAAAACTCAAATACACATTGTGTATGTTATTAATAGTTGTTTAATATCTAAAATATGTCTTAAATATATGGATAAGCCATTTTTAGTTATTTTGCCTATGTTTGTCCTTTTGAATGGGATGTTTTTTATGATTACGGTTCACGTGAACGTATTGTTAATTTATTGAACATGCATCTTCCTCCAAAAGATTAATTATACATATGCATTACAAACTATAATTAGGGCCACTTCCTATTATAATTGTTTCTTTCGTTTACTGTATTTCTTTGTTGTTTTCCCCCTTTCCTCGGAATGGGTGATTCTGTATTGGTTTGTGAATTACATGCCACTCTTTCTGATATGGGACACATCCTTTCCAATTAATCTGTGAGTATGATTTCAATTCTAAGTAAAAACCGTGGAATGTCAGTTAAAATAAAGTTATGTGCAATTTCACAACTCAGTAATCTAGTGTGTATAATAAATAGCATTGAGAATTGAAGATACACATCCACTCTGCAATTAAGTAAACACCGAATGGTAAGATTAATTCAATTTTTTTAGAATGACAAGGTATAATTTTTCTTTGAATATTCACTCTACTTTTATGACAATTGCAACACCTCTGACCCTGAAGGAGTTAGAGAACAAGTGTATAATTTCAAAAAAGAAGAGGTAAACAGTTAAAGAGAACCCTAGACTTTATTGTCCAATTAAATTATTTCCATTAAGGTTAAGTTAACTCTTTATAATTTTAAATTATTTTGTAAGGAACTTATAGTAACACATTGGTAACGAAAGTGATGCATTTTCCCAGTTCAAATTTTTAAAAGAATTTGATATAATTGTCCTAGTTTAAAATTTAAAAGAATTTGAATATAATTGGACTGGATCGAAATTTAGTTGAATTAAATTATGTTGGATGGATTAAAATTTGATCTAAATTTGGTCATTTCCGTTTGAGTCGAAATTTAATCAAATTCGTTTGAATAGGTTTCAATCAAAATTTGGTTAAATTTGGTCTAATTCGACTTAATCAAAATTTGGTTGAATATGTTCAAATTATTTCTGATTAAAATTTAGTTAAATTTGATCGAGTAGGCTCCGATCAAAATTAGGCTGAATTCGATTGAGTCAACTTTAGTCAAAATTCTGCAAAATTTGACCAAATTAATCACAATTTAAATTTGATCAAGTCGATCTTGATTGAAGTTCGGTGAAATTCAACATTATTGACCAAGTAGACTCTAACTAAAATTCAATCAAATTTGATATAGTTAATCCTGAAAGAAATTTGGACAATTTTAACCAAGTCAACACGAGTTAAAATTCAATTAAATTTTTAAAGATAAATTTTTCTTATATACTTAAGTTAATTTTTACTTAATTTGGAAAAAATAATTCAACTAAAACAAATAGTTCAGTTTAATTAGTTTGAATTAATTTTTAATTTAGTTAAGATAAATTACTTTTTATTAAGTTCTATTTATAAGTTCAATTACTTTTCTTCTCCGTCCTAATTCGAACCCAATGGCATCGATAAATCTGATCTAATTTATATTAATAAAATATATTAATATATTTAATATAATTTAATAAATTTAGCTTTAATTTATATTTTTATCATTATAAAATATTAAATATACAACCAATAGTAATTTTCCCAAATTATAATTCTTTTATTGAAATTTTTCAGAAATTGAAGTAAGTAACAAATATTAAAAAAAATTAATATCACAAATCGTAAATAAGATTAAATCACACGACCGGAAAAGTAAAACTTAATTAAATTTTTTTAAAACAAAAAGTTAGAAAAATCCGACACTTAGAATTTTTATAGGTTTTAATGCTTCTCTAGTTTCTATTTCCCGGTAATTTTTCTCAAGTAGGTCTTTCCCAGTTTTTTGTTTAGGTCTATTTTTAAAATGTAACAAATCAACGAGGATTTTTCGTCTCAAATCAAACCATTTAGTTTTGTATATAAATCTTACAAATTGATATTTTTATTAGAAAAATAAAAAAATTACGATATAACACATTTTTATTTATTAATACAAATAAAAATAACTTAATTGCATTAAAGTTTTCAAAACAAAACTAATTTGACAGAAACAAAAATAAAAAATTCATTTAAAAATTTTCTAAAAAATTAAACAACAAATGAAATCATTTAACCTAAATGATATGAACAAGCAAACTATAAAAGTTAATATTTCAATAATAAATATTTTTGTGAAAGAGATCTACACAAAAATAGTCTCGACATTTTTTCAACAATTCATAAATTGTTTACGGAGTTAAACATTAAAACTTGGAATGTATCTCACTAATAATTCACTTAAAAGAAATAAATTTAAAAACAAAGATTTGAAAAACATTATTCCATTTAGTTAAATCTTCTAAAATTATTCCATTTAGTTAAATCTTCTAAAATTATTCCTACAACAACTTTCTCTTAACCCTTTTGAGAAAAAAATTATATTTTATTTAATCTTTTAATTATTTATTTTTTAAGACAAAACTACATTTCATATATCAACAATGTAAAAACGTAAAAAATAGTAATTATAAGTATTTAAATTTTCTAATTAAAATCCAATTAGAATAATATCTGAATTTGGGAAGGAATAAAATTATTTAGTTTTTAAAAAAAATTAGGACTAAATTATAACAAAATAAAAATATAAGATTAAATTAAAATAAAATAAAATATAAAAACTAAATTAAGAAAAATTCAATACCACATTACTTGACATTGACACTGTCAACGTTACATTCTCGTTGCCATGTAACAAAATGATAACTTAACACAACAGATTTTTTTATCTTAGAAAAATTAAAAATAAAAATAAAAATAATTAATTTAAAAAAAAAAAGATTAAAAAAGCTACGAATTGACTTCTATGGTGTTAATTCAGAACTAAAGATAAAAATCTAATTATTTTAATTTTTGAAAAATAAGAATTCATGGAAACTATCTAATATTAACCAATTTATAATTAGATTAATTGAAAAAATAATATATATCCATATTAGATTCTGATCCTATCACACCCTCTAACTCGTTAGTTATAAAAAAAAAATACATATACATTATAAGTCACTTCTCTAACTTTACTATTTTGAGAGAAAAAAAAACCACTTTTAAATATGAATAAAATCTATTAAAAATTACACAGTTGGGAAATCTCATGTTTATTAAATCAATTTCATCCATAATTTTATGACTTTTAACAAATTTAACAAACATTTTGCACTAGAAACGCTTAAAAATAATTATTTGCTTTATAAATTTTTTTTAAAATAAATCAAATAAAAACATGTACAGATAACAATAAATATAGAAAATACACAAATGCAAAGATTATAAACATATTGTTCACGTCAATGGCCATTTTTATATTTTCATTCACAAATAAGATTTACTAACAGTCCTTTCGGTATGATCCATTTTCACTTTTACTTTTAGTCAATGTTCCCGTCAACAATTACAGAAAACATCACTTATTCTCTGTTTCTTATTCTTAAGATTTTGTTAAGAAATAATTTTCTCCATGAAATCTTAAAAATAGAAAATAAGAATAAAGAAATGTTTTTATAATTATTAATAGAAATGTGCTCAGGAAAAACCCAGAAAACCTCCTATTCCTCGAGTGTCCAAGCAATCATTTCCACTCAACCCTCTACCCCTGTTATCACATTATCAGTGGATTATGTAAAAAAATTCAACACCTGCAGTTGTCACCATCAAACAGTCTAAAAAGAATATTATTGTCCAGTAACTAAAAAATCTGCTCTCTAACTTGAGAATTAATTTTAAAAAAATACAGCACAGAATATACCATGTTATTGCCGCTTCCTCCTATAAAAATATACAACACCAATTGTGTCAATTCTATTTGTTTGTTTGTCGAAATAAGACGGCAGCAGCGGCAACAGCAGACAAACTCCAAAAGAAAGAATTATGTTGATGATAACCGTCCACTTAAAGAGTGAAACTCCTCTCTCCTTAAAGACACATCTACAGTAACAGCAGAAAGCAGTAACTACAAACAAAGGGATATATGAAGTTACAAAAAATAATCTGGAGTCTTTCGTGTAGTATCAGGCTCAATTTGTCTGGGAGCTGGATCAAACTGCAGAAAATTCTGATCCATATTCTCTCCGATTCCATTATGGCAGCCATGTTCCCACATCGGTAACAATAATTAGGTGCACTAAAAACAGTCACCACATTCTTGTCCTTAAAGAGTCATCCAAATAATAGTCATCAATAAAGAGAAATGTAATGGGTATCCCTAAACTGAAAAGGGAAAACAATACTCGTAATAAATAAAATATTAGATCAGTCGGCACCTGGCACCAATTGTATCCTTCCATGACAAGCTGGTGAGCTCTAGATATTAGGGAGAGACCATTGTATTATTAAAACGAGTAGCTATGTCCTGTCCAAATGTATATCCTGCACCACGTGGAGATATTCCCCAACCACAGCGATCATCTGGATCAGACCACAATAGGTCACACATTGGTCCTTCGTGTGGAACCTACATTGCAGTTACAGTTGTCATTTGTCAGACAAGAAATCTAATTAATTTTCTTGGTGCAATTAGACAAGACAGATACAGAAATGAGATTCCAAAACGGAACAAAAGACAAGACATCCTTAGATTGAGACATTTCCAATGAAAAACAAGAGCTACAAACTACGTTGTTTAATTTCAAAATTAAACAATTTAAAGTACTTCTCAAACCATATTTCAGAAAGATTTTTAACATGTTTTGCATAAAATGATCTCCACACAAATCAATCCAGAATGCAATAGTTTGTAATATCAATTTAAAAAACAAACCTCCTGTATGCGATCCAACGCCCGTATATTATCCAGTGTATCCAAAGATGGTGAGAGACACCATGCAAGCAGAATCTGTAATATACATGGATGTTAGAACCCTCATAAGGTTTCTCAAAGAAACATTCTGCAACATATTTAACTCAAACCTGACTCTCAATAAGGGCAGTCAAAGGCAAATAATCAAACAAGTCGGTAAAGAATTTCCAGACATTAGCATTTCCATATTTTCTCAACATGCATCGTAGAACCCATACTGAAAACATTTGAAAGATGTAGACAACGAGGTTAGTAATAAACTATTTTTAGAGTAAATGCTATTATTTCTTGTGCACAAAACTTTTTCCACTATCAAATCCCTTCACAAAACCACTCATAAATATGAATTTACGCATAAGCGGTGTAATCACCTCTACTCATTCCTTCAGATCAAGTTACAAACTAGCGTAACATTTCATTTAAACATCAACTGTATCCATTTAACAAGATCACTTCAATCTGAGTATAATTTTATCATCCGTCACCATATGCTCACATCTGTTTCTATACGGCAAAAATACTATAATACTAGCATATGCAATCATAATGATAGACTACAGAGATTCAGCAGCAACAAAATACATCTATTTGCATTCTGAATCATTTGTATTTTATAATGTCCTAATACCAAGAAAAAAATGCCATAATATTATCACAAAAATCAGGCTGCTTTTCCTAAGATAACCATCACTGAATATTGAGGTACGTGAAGCCCATGAGCAATTTCTCATAAAATCAATGAATACAAGAGTAAGGACTGCACATCCTTAACTTATTCTCAAACAGTGAGCAGGATATACACTAGATTGTTGCTTAACATGACACATATCATACAGAAATTACAATAAGCTTTATGGCAAACACATGATGTGAAGAAAATGTTCTTACACTTGAGTGATTTGACGACTCTCATGATTTCCCCTAAGGATTGTAATTCTATCTCTATAACGGACTTTCAAGGCCACCAAAAGTGTAACAGTCTCCACTGAATAGTAGCCACGATCTGCATAAATTATGCCAGTATCATCATCATGAAAAGTGCCCACATATACAAAGTCTAATCCGAACATCATTAAAAGCAGCATGAGAAAAAAATAAAAGATGATAATTGCCATAGTTGGCAGCTTTTTATATCTGCAACTGTAGCATCCTCAAATATTGAAGTGTCAAGCATCATATCCTTCCCTATTATAACAACAATCGCTGTTGATACCTTGATACAAACAAATCAATCACTTCTGATAGTTTTTATGTTCCCAGCAAATGTTGTTTAAAGGACGGGCTAATTAAAGACAGTATGGACCTTCAATTCTTGTTGACTCACTCCAATAAAATCCTTTCATAGTCATACAAAATTCAATTTTAATTGTCCATCAACAGTTATATAAACAACTGCCCGTTATCAACACTATTCTGACCTAAGTATCAAGAATGTATTCAATTTTAGTGCTACACGAACATCTCAACACTGCATTCAGTGCACCAACCTACTCCACACTGTACAAACACCAACCCATAACAACAATAACTACACTTCTAATTACAAACCAAGAACAATCACTCCATCAGAAAAACAGGAAGGGGCCAGGATAACAACAAGCTTCATCTAACAATTCTACTTTCAAAAAATCCTAATTTAGCGCATAACCAAAATAAGAAGCTTAAAACTCAATATTTATACAGATTCAACAGCGGAATCAATGTTACCACACCATAAAAACCAGACACAGATAATTAAGTGTGCATTTCCCAATTTACATACGTCAAAATTAACCATTAGAAATCTAACACCCAGACATCACGGGAAAACCTTAAACACCGATTCCAACTAGTTGCCGACAGCACATCCCAAAAAATATACTGACGAACAACTACTTAAATTTCATTAACCCAACCAAGCAATCATCCTAGCATTTACTTCAACCGATGATACCAGCTAAAAATCTTAAAAAAAACGCTACTCTCAGTCTCTAAAAGATAAAAACGGCATCAAAAGCACGAAAGAAGCATCGTAACATAAAATCAAAAACAAAAATTTCATTCTCGAAATCCAACACCACGATAGTAATAAATTCAATTACAACACACCATAAAGCATTTCGCGCTATAACGAAAAATCCAAGCCCCTCATCTCAGGTTTTTAGTTCACGAAATAATTAAATAAATATAGGAGAATCTCAGCAGAGGAAACTCACCTACATAATCGCCCATAAAAAGGTAGTTGGTATCGGGAGCGTGTCCTCCTATCCGAAAAAGCTCGATGAGATCATAAAACTGGCCGTGAATGTCGCCGCACACGGTGACGGGACACTTCACCGGTTGAACGTTCCACTCTTCGACGAGAATCGCCCTGGCCTGATCGCAAAGCGCCTTCACCTCCGCCTCCGACAGAGGCTTGCACTCCATGAGATGCTCGATCTGCCGGTCCAGATCCGCGTGGGACGGCATCGTTTCGGTCGGTCAGATCCGAGATCCAAAGTTCCTAACAGATCGGTGGTGTTCGGTTCGGACTAGTCCGAGCGGATAGCCGGCGACGACGACCGGAGGATCCTCGCGAAAGGGAGGGTTCCGATGCGAAGCGAGGAGGGCAAAACGAACCGTTTTGTGGGCGATGGTCTTTGGCTCTTTTTCTTTGCTCTCTTAATCATTTCATTTCGTTCCGCCCTCTCTGTTTGTTTCTGTCCTTTTCTTTTCTTCTTTGTTTCCCTCAGATTTCTTTTTTCAATTTTATGTGTGCAAAACAGAAAAACAATAAGCAATCAATGGAGACCTAAAAAAGGAAAATTGTAAGAAATAAATAACACTTTTTTAGTTTTTTTTATTATGTTATTTGGTTTTAATTGATTTAATTAATATCTCTGAATGGGAGAGAGGAAGCGGAAATTGCCGCGAAGGTGGGGGAGCCTGCTATCCAGAACCTAACAAAATGAAACTCAAACTCAAATGAAATGACATCAAATTTTGAAAAACATTATTGAATGGCGTGTGTGTGCATTATTTTTAAAGTAGCTGTCTCCTATATGTTTTAAAGTTTAATGAATGTTGATAAAAAATATTAATAATATTAATCGATTCAGATATAGTTTTAAATAATTATCCAAAAAATAATACATTTATTATACATGAATGTTTGTGACTGATCGACGATATAAGTTGTTTTTATTTTTTGTTGTTTGCTGTATATAGTTTATTTTTCTGTTAATTTTTTAATTTTTTTTTTCAGTTGAGCATTTAAGTATTGTTTGACTGTCTAGTTGGTAAGAGGATAGTTATTTATTGTACCTACAAAGTGCATACTTGGCATTAGAAACTCGAAGTAAACTAATGTCAGTTACACTAAAAAATGTATTAATTTGACATTGAATATTTGTTGGCACGGTTCAATTCAAATTCAAAGTTCTTTTATGGGAAGTTGTCTATCTTTAAATATAATTCATTAAATGTAATACTCTATTTTTTAAATAACATCATGGTATTATTATTAATTTTGATATTTTAGCGGTTAATATCCAAACTTTTTATATTATTTATTACTATATGAAAATTTATTAAAAAAAATAAAATATAAAATATAAAACATGAGAAATAATATTAAAATTATGACACAAGTTATTTTTCACAAAAATATAGATAACTATATTTATTATGAAAAAAAATTAAATAAATACATGGAGATAAAATATTAAATAACTTTTATAATTAATTATTTTATTAGTAGATTGATTTTCTTCATAAGAAAGACATGAGATACTTTAAATTAAATGAGTAAAAAAAAATGCAAGCACCCACCTCTCTTTAAGAGTAAAGAAAGAAATCATTCGTTGATCAAACAATTATGATGAACTAAAGGAAAATTATTTTCCAATCAAAACCTCTGAAAGCCCTTTCTCAAAACATGATTCAAAGCATAAATGACTTCTATAAACTCAGCAGTATACAAGTGTGTACCTCTAAAAAAAAGCTCATAAAACCTATATATTCACTCTCACTTCCTCTAAAAATACAATATATGAAGTCAAACCAGAATACTTCCTGTTGCACAATCAATATTCACCTTATGTAAATTAAGCAGATAAAACTTTCATATATGTCTGTAAATGAAACCATCCTATCTTTCATCCCTCCATAGTTTGTATTTAGGCACAATAAAAATAAGATAATATACTCATAGCTTATATTTATTCTCAATCATCTGCATCAACTCCTTAATATGAAAAAATAGCAAAAGGTAATGCAATTGGATCATAAAATCTACTATTATTTCGCATTCTCTACAACTCATCCAAATAATTGGAGTAATGACAATTACTTTAATAACTTTAAACAAAGGGTTACATGGAAACTTCATAAACTGAATAACCAAATCTACTACAAATCCTAAAAAACTTCATTCAATCATTCCTATAATCATATAGCAATATAATAATGAAAGAACAAATGAGAGAAATATTCAACATTGTTACAACACAAAGAACACATAAAGCATAAAATCATTCCTTTTTTTAACCTCTAAATCAGTAAGTAAACAACCATACAAAAATTTCCAAACAACTAAAATTATAGCTGGTAACACCTCATCCAACCAAATAAAGTTCTCTCAATCCTCACGTTCCATACCAAAAGAGTAAATTTTTTTGCAACTGTTTGAGAAAGCACTACAGTATAGTCTAGAGTCTAATTATGCACATCTCATCCTCATTAACCATTAAAGAAGAAAAATGATATAAATTGCCAACAAAAGAATGAAAGTTTTAATGAGTATGTGTCCAAACTAAACTAACAACATAGTATATAATCTTATTCTCTCATAATTTCTAACCAACTATCAAAACACCATAAGGTAGACCATTTAAATGTGAACAATCCTTGTTAATGTGTATCTTGAGTCCAAACAAGATTTTGAATCCATTATTCCACATCAAAAATAAGTTTAATAAGTCGTTTATAAACTTAAAATATATAAAGATAATAGACCAACAATTATCGAATTTACTAACTGAATTCTTCCTTTCATATTAAGCAATTCTTTCTTCAAGAAACAAGCTTGTTACGAATCTTATTAACAAAGATTAAAAAAATTGCGTGTTGAGAACCTCCACAAAAATTGGACATATCCAAATACATAAAAGAAAGATATATTTGATTATAAGAGAGAGACTTCTTGAGATGCCTAGTAGAAAAAGTATAAGCATTAACAATGTAAAAGCGACTTGTAGAAAGACTCATCGTTAACCAAAGAAAATGTTATAATCACGCAGAAAAGATGTTAAATGTTATAATGCTTTGGTATCTCTGTGAAAAAACAAATATATAATCAATATGGAGAGTATGGGAAGAAAAATTTATTTCCGAAAACTAATTTGAAAAACATAAGTTTCTTAAAAATAAAGTCTGGAATAACTAAGAATATCCTCAGCAAAACAAAAGGGAAAGGAAAAAAATTTCAATTTGTTTTGCTTATTTTATATTTTTCTTAACTAATTTTATATTTCAATTACACGCTAACATGTTTTTCTCTAAACAACTAAGAAGAGAGATTATAAAGGACCAATAAAATAAATATATTTATTACTTAAGTTTTCGTAAATACTAATCTAATCTATAACATGCTTAAATTTTAATTTTTTCGAGTTAATTTTAAATTTTAAAAGTACTTTTGTCAATTACTTTTTTATTAGAAAGAATCAGTTAGATGTATAAGAAGTTCACTAAATTCCATATTATTTGCATGACATTCACATTCAGTGGCACAATGATAACTTATTTGAAAGGGTCAAAATAAAATACTTAAATTAAGTGTAGTTTTAATATATAATTTTTATGCTATCCTGGAAGGTAATATAGGTGAACTTGTCTTTCTCCCACACGGCCAATATCAAATTCACCTTACATATGGACAAATGATATTAACCAATTGCACTTTAATCAATGACGAAGAAATGGACCCTGTGATACAAAATCATTATAAGCAGTGACCCTTATTACGAATGGTATTTCTTTTTAGACTTAAATGTTTATTTCGTTCCGTGTTAAAAGATGAATTTCTGTTTAGTATCCGATTTTAATAATGTATCTATTGAGTCCTAAAGTTATAAGGAGTTAATTCCATGCTGACATGTTATAAAATCTGACTTTTTTTTTCTCTCTTCTGTTTTTTCTACACCTTTCAGCGTTTTCTCTTTATATATTAATGATTCTCATAATTGTAGTGCATCATTTTTTTCTTTTCTCTTTCTACAGTTTGGTGCAATTCCCAACATATCATTGAAGCTTCTTTATAGGTCGTTCATATTTCTGCATTCAAATCAATTTGAAGGCAAAATTTCACCTTTTTACAGCAAGCTTCAAAGCTCAAGCTCTCCAAAAATAATTTTTTAAATTTGTTTTTATTCTTATGTGATCAAAGCATATATCCAACATATCATTAAATACTTATTTTTTCTCTCTTCCTCCAAGGCTCACCTTTACCAGCACAGATTCACTCATTATTCAAAGTAATAGTCCGGTTCATAGAATCCAACCCGTAACCCAAACCCATTTAAGTTTTACAAATATCCTTCTTCTTCCGCTTCAATCTAGGTAAGCCCAAAAAAACATCAAAGACCAACAAGAAGAATGTTTCGACGCTTACCCGTTGAAACCGAAGAAGGAAAACCAAAGTTGAACAAACAATCAACAGTTCTGGGGTCTTGCAGGTCGGAGAAGGAAGCAACATAGATAGAAGCAATAGTCTTACAATCAGTGGTATTGTTTGTGATGGGAATCCAAGTTGGACATATCTTTGGAATCCGGTGGTGATGTTGTTGCAGGAGAGGGAAATGAAAGAGGAAGGGAGGTTGCAGGAGGAACAAATGTCGTATTGGTGGGTGTAATCTTGGAGAGAGATCCGGAACAGTGGCATTGGGAGCTTATGGCTACGGAACAACCTTTGAGTTTTAGAACATGATACACAGTTGTTTGTTGCTTCTGTTGCACAATGATATATACACGAGTGAAGAGGTAATTCAAAAATGGTGATTTTCTCCAATAGAACGAAGAAACATTGAAAACCCCCTAAGATACACAACAATTTACAAGAACTCAAGCTACTCTCTCAGTCAACAATGTATGCTTTTTGAGGTAGGACCATATTAAAACCACTTATCTTTCTCTCTTGTTTACTTAAACATAAGCTTCTCTTTTCCAGGCGTAATAATATGAACCATTTCTTTCTTTCTTTCTTTTGAATTCCACACTATTGAAAAAAAAGAAGTGACTTTATTTAAATTAAAGAAGTCAGACTAAAAAATTAACATAAATAAATGAAAATTTTGTAGAAAAATTAATTAATACTTAATAGATACAAACTCAAATGATTCTCGCTTTTTTTGTGTGTAAATAGAGTTATCTTTTAATCAATGATGTTGTTAGCTTTACAATCATACAAATTTCCAAATGCAAAATAATATTATAA